TTAAATGTTGCCTCTCTTGCTCGACGATTTCACCGGCGTCGACGACGATAACCACGTAGACATTGTCGACGTCTACAACGACGAGGAGGACGACGAGATGACACTGGTTACAGCCATCGTCGTCGTCGTCATCGTCGTCGCGTGAAACGGCGCGACGTCTCATGGATTAACTCATTCGAGGGTTACGAGGCCGCGATTATGTGCCACCTGCCACGATTGCGGACGCTCTGGAATTAGTCTGTAATTATACGTGGCTCTGCGTGAAACAGGTAGTATTATGCTCATCGTAAATGAGAAATGAAATACATATATGTAATTCTTATTAGCTAATTGAATTTTTCTTATTGTTAATTAAAACCAGTTTTCTATCTTATTATTTTCGATCATTGATAACATGGTTTTGACCTATTTAAAAATAAAAATTGATTTATGTTTTAAGCAATTATTAAATTATATATTATATTTAGTAATTCGAAACATTTGAAGAATGTGAATTATTTATATTTTAATCATAAACATATTCTCAAGAATAAGAAAATGGTAAGTAGGACATTAGAATACAATATTGTTTTAAAACTTTGTTTTGTTTGTTCATCACTTCAAAAATTGTGACCAATTAAAACTTTTTCTTTTCAGTAAAGAAAAGAAATTCTATTTATAAAAAGTTCTTAAATAATATAATAATATTTTGCAGAAACTTAGAATAAATAAGTAATTTTTATAATTAAAAACTATTTCATAAAATCCAAAATTTTAACTTAAAATTTTTTTATATCATATAAATTATAAGGAATTTTTTATAATGGAAATAATTTATGAAGTATAACTTTAAAACTATTCTCTTATAAAAATTAAAAAAATATAATTTAAGAAAAAATATGAAATTTGTTTGAAATAATTTCATTAAAATGTAAAATTGTTCAAGATTACACGAGAATTATTTTCTAGAATTATTTTCCATATTGATAACAGTTTTACACAGGAAGTACTTCTACTTCTATAAAATCGAATAATAATCTTATTATACTAATTTTTTGAAAGAAAACAATTATCTTTCCTGGAAAGATTTTGTTTTAATCTCAAAAACTAACTTCTACAAAGATATTTTAATTATAAGTCACAAACTTTTATGTGAACAAAAAAAAAAATTAATATAAAATAGAATAATATCTAACCTTGAGAATAAACATCTAATCAATCAAGAATGATATGCGCAGGTGTCCTCACTTATTACTACATATTAATTCGAATACAGGATGGGAAGTTGTGTAAAAAAAAAAAAAAAATAATAATATTCACGTGCTTGCATTCGAAAGAAGTGTTTGTTCCAACGTGATCCACTATTTTCCAAGTAATCATCGATTATCGCTGCGATTCCTATCACCGTCCTGCAAGATATAAAACCCTTAAAATTTTTATGCCGCTAACATGATTCGCAATGATAAGCGATAAGATGCCACGTTATACAGTGATTCGAATTACTAATCTAACGAAAAAAATCTTATTTTTCTCATATAATATATTTAAAAAATTAAAAATATATTATTAATATTTAAATGTCTAATTGAAAATAATTCAGATGTAAGATACAACATATTATATAATTTTGTTTTTAGATCCTGGTAAAAATGTTCCAAAATTATGTGTTTCATAATATATGAGCATGAATAAATTGCATCCAAATAGTAATTTATCCGTTTTTTAAATTAATATAGAATAAAAAATATTTGTTATTATTTATAAATCTGTTATTATAAATACAAATTTTATCTTAATAAATATTTATAGTAAATCTGAGACATGAAGAAGATTTCAATATCTTATGCTTTGTGTCATTATATTATATTAATGTTACATATTTTTAACAATTCATGAATAACATGAACAAATTTTATTTGAATCCAATAGATATATTTAGATGTCGTTTTAAGTAATATAGAACGGAATATTCATTTGCTGTACATGGACTATAGAAGGAAGATATAATTTCCACTTTAATGAGATATCTACATATAATTATAATAAATTTCCATTAATTTTCTTTTTTAATAGTTTTCTTTTGTTTTTAAAAAAATTTTGTTCAAATTTATATATTTTGTTTTTTATATTTTTTGTTTAAGAGAATATAATTTCTATTCTTGTGAAATTTTTTCTAAAAAAAGTGGTTTTTACTAACAACTTCTTAAGAAATGTTTTTATAGAATAACTTTGAAATTTAGTTAAAAAAGTTCCAAAAAATTTTCATTGTTATCAGATATAAAACATTATTTTTGAATGTTTATTAGAAAAGATTCCATAAAAATTCCAAATAAAATTTTCAAATTATTATATTTAACAATGTATATTATTAATATATAAAATAAAAGACACATATTAAATATTATAATACTATTCACTGAATAATATTTGTTAATATAATAATTTTTTTAATATTGATAAACAATGTAATAGAATAGATTTTTTATATAAGAAATTTTTATTTTCATATAAGTTCTATTTAAATAAAAAAATTTTTTTTCAAGAACTTTTTTCTTAAGAACTTAAAATATTATTATGAAAATTTGCTAACAATAAAGTCACTATATATAATATATTACGTTAATTACACTATACTATTACTATATAATTATTGATTTTCAATTTTATGTAAAAATTGAAATATGTGATAGAAAAATGAGATTTTGTTTTAGATCGGCGATTCGAACCGCTGTATGCATCGGCTGGACTGATCAGTCCTCGTTGAAAATTCGACGCACGTCGCGAGATGTCGACGGTAACCGTGGAAAGAACGGCATCGTCCTGTGTGCCTGGTCCACACGGGTGAGATTTAATAATGTAGAGTAGCGGGCTAGACGCTAGGTACACACCGGGATTGGTACACACCGCTTTCGGGCGTCTTCAATATCTGAGCAGCTCAAGAACCGCATTGTCTAGGGCGACGGCCCAACCCCTGAGAGTGCTTTATGACTCTCTCTCTCTGTCTTTACTTCTCTATCCCTGACCAACGATCACGAGACGATGACGAGCATTATGCGGCGGATAATGGTCCAACGGGTCGCCATTCACCCGGTGCACGTGCAAAGAAAGCATACTTGACAAACATCCCCCTTTCTAGACCCTGATTGAATTATGCCTCTCCGGATACAACCATATCGATTCTGCCTTTCATCCATCCAGCCGAAACACATAGAGAGATATGGACAAAAATCGAGGAATTATGTCGACGTTAGCCACGTGAATATATAAGATTATTGCAAAACTTCTTTTTGTTATTTATGCATTTCAATGGTCATAATTTCATATATGTATATATATAACCGTTTCTTTTATAAAGGATATTTGTTCATTGCTTATTTTTGTGTTTATATAGCTTTGTATTAAAATTAATCATAAAAGAAAAATTTTTATATATTTCAAATAAGATATTATTTGTTATAGGAAGTTAATATATTTTCAGAATTTTTGGAGAATTTATTCTAATAAATATAAAAAATGGTAATGTCGATTGAAGTTTATTTGTTCAGTTATAAATAAAGTTTGTTAAACGAGGTGACTCTATCTCTGTTATATTATTCATTATATTTATTCATCTCTGCTTTATTTCATCTAAGTAAATTTCTATTGTTTATATTTGTTTTCTCGTTAAGGATATCATTATTTTGAAAAACGGAATAATAAAAATTCTTGTATTAAGATATTCTCTCCATAGGAAACTTCATACTTCTTTATATAAAATTATATAAATGATAAAATATTATTGAAATATGTAAATATGTTCCAGTTTGATCATTATTCTTAAAAAATAAAATCATGAAAGATTTAGAAAAACATAAATCTATATAACGAAAAAAACAAAAAGAGATTTTGACAACATATTATATGTTTTCAAAAGTACGATCTCCGAATCCTTTTCTTTCGATAAATTTCCCAATTGAAATATAAATAAAAATGAAAAAATTTAAAGATTTCTTCTCAAATTTTTTCATTTTTCTTTCTCGCATCGTCAAACGTAATCTCTAATTCGAGTGCGTTTTCGCAAACTTCCTGGATGGACAGATAATTTCTGGACGAGGAATGAGATGAAAAGGCGAAAGAGTGAGGAAAGACGAGGAACGCGTTACATCGCCCTCGACATCCTTGCATTTAGGAGACGGTCGAGAGCCCTATTCCAATTCCGCTGAGTTAATTGGAATTGTTTGCCGCAGAGTTTGCGAGCCGTTTGCCTTAGTCCCTGTTTCTCCGTCGTAGATCCTTCGGTCTACGAACTCATCGAATCCGTGTTGATGTGATGTGTTTATATGTCAGAGTGACATCTTTAATGGAATTCCTTTCGTAACGATTTAAATTCTCATTTCTAGAAATGATGTGATTGGGAAAAAATTATGTTTTATGAATTTTATATATTTTATCATTTTGTAATTTTTTAGTTATTTAATTTTGTAATTAAATATCATTATGAATTTTAATTGCATTTTTTATGATCTTCTATTGATTTTAATTTGAATTAAAGTTAAGAATTGAAGTTTAAAAATTTTCTTTGTAATATATATTTTTTCTTTGTAATATATTTATATATATTATATCTATTAATGTGTAATATTTCACTTATTATTTTTTTGCGATCGATTTTCATCATTGATGATGTTCGAAAATATTAAATTTTTTTACTTGTTTAAATATTAAAATCCAAATTAATTTAATTTAGATAGACAAATAAAATTGAAAAATAAAAATTTTTTTCAACAAATTGACAATTATATACTAAGAATTAATACGATATTTCTTACATGCTACAATGTTGTTGAAAAATTATAATGATGTTGTAATGTTGAAAATTGTAATGTTGAAAAATTATGAGATAACGTATTTGATACTTGAATTGTTACGAAGAATTTTAATCAATCTTATCTTATTTATATTTATCACTCATATACAAGTTGTATATAAAGTATTCCTTGCAATGCTACGAATAACTTATAAAGTGAGTAACAAATTAAAACAGTAACAAACTAGTTACAGTTTTTTTTTATTATTTTAAAATTTATTAGTAAAGTATTTAAGTATTATTTAAGTATTATTTTATAAAATAAGTATTTAAACAATGCAAGTAAGTATTTAAACAGACATAAATCATCAAAATTTAATAATTATGTGAGCAAATATTTTATTTACATTTTTCGTTTATATCTACAACTACTTTTTACTACTTTAGACTTATGGAAAGTTAAAAAAAAATTTATAATACATATTAAAATCTTTACATTAATCATTTGTCAAATTTTTAAAAGATTTATTAATAAAGATTTACAAATAAAGATTTCTTAGAGAAGATTCAGAAATAAAATTTTTTTCTATATATAATGATTCAAATTGTACATGAAGGAAACAATTTTATTTCTTTGACGATTTCTTTGAAATAACTTATATATTTTTTTACAGATGAAATTCGCTTCGGCAATTTTTGTTATACTGGTTGCAGCCAGTCCTCTGAACGCTTATAAAATCCCAGCCACTGGTTCTGGTGCCCTCGCCAAGGAATTTCAAGACTTTATAGACTTGATTCCGCTCGACCAAATAATCGAAGTGACGAAGACGTACTATGCCCAAGATACGCAATTCCGTAACATTATTCAATTGATGAAAACTGAAGAATTAAAACAATGGATGCTAGATATCGAATCGGTTCCCGAATTCAAATTACTGATAAATTACATTCAGAAGAACGGTCTCGATATTTATTACTTAGTTAATGAATTCAACAAATCTTTGAAACTTCCGCCTCTTGTCAGTGGAATCAAAGCTCTTTTCGGTTCTTTCGATAATAAAATCACTGGTGGTTTTATCGGTTATTTGATTGATATTGCTGCTCTTGTACCAATAGAGAAATTGTCTAATCTTTTCACTGAGAAAAACAAAAATTCCGAGGTATTCAAGGCTTTCATAGCAGAAGTAACTTCGTCTAAATATTTCGATTTTTACAACAATATTTTCGAGGATAAACATTATAAGAATTTGGAAAATGAGGCCGTAAAATTAGGCATAACTAGAAATGATTTCCATACTTTTTCTCCTATCTTTGTTTTCGTTGCGACAGCATTCAATGTGTAAATGACAGTGCTTTTGATTTATAAAAAATTGATTTATAAAAAATAATTAATTCATTTTATTCAAATGTAAAAAAATTTATGTTGTTTTCTTTTTCTTAAAAAAAATAAAATATATTTATGTTGGATTGAAAACATTAATTTTTCTATTCTTTATCTATCCTATTTTTTTTACACTTACAGGATTAATTTTTTTTAAGATTAAAGATAATTATTCTTCTTTTATTTTTCATAGAAATCTATTCCTTTTCTATGTTTTTTATGTTTTTATTAAATTTATTAAAATTAAGATTTATTTCATTGCAGAAAAATATATTCATTAATTAATTATTTAATAGTACTATATTATATATATGCAATACTGAATATGAAAAAGTTAAAGAGTTGTTAATATAAAATTTTCACTTCTTTGTTTTTTTTGAAATCTCATATATATTTGAAACCAATTATTTTAGAAAAATTTTATAATAGCTTAAAAAACTATTATAAACTATATTATAGAAACTTTTTTATTATTTTAAATTCCAAAAACTATATTGGTACATGAATTAAAAGTTAGAAATGTTGATAAATTAGAAATTTTTAAGCAAAAATATATATTTATACAATTACTTTTCATGAAAAGAAAATGTATAAATTTATTCAAAATTTTAAGACATTCCTGTTTTGCGAATAATCTCACTTAATTTGCTTTTTTGTATTTGAACAGAAATTTATGTAAATTATACAAATAAATACAGATTGATGTATATTGCATTGATTTAAAATAAAATAATTTAAAATGAAACGCAAAAATTAAATTGTTTGCAGATCAAAGCTATGATTACTTATTTAAATACTATTACCTAATTCTAAAATAGAATTTAAAGAATGCCGAAGGCAATTTTATAAGAATTTAGTTCTTATATAAATGTTTTTTTTAGAAAAAAAAAATGGAAAAAAATAAGCATTCTGATTTATAATAATAAAATTTTATAAAGATTTGGCTTTGAATTTTCTAAATTTGATTTATATTTCAATTTTTATACTATTTTTAATATTTTTAAATCTTAATTATTATTTGAAAATTGTGAAATTGATGTATATAATAAAATGATGGCTCACATTTTTTAAAATGATTAGTATATTGAAAATATAATCTAAATAAAAAAAATATATTTGTAAACGTAAATACATATAAATTTAGAATATTAAAGAACAAAAGAAAAAATAATTAAAATAGATTTTGAAAAAAAAATATAATTGAATTCTATATATCATATCATGAATTCTAAACATTTTGCTTCGATCAAAATATCCGATTCAAAGTATTATGTTCAAAGTATTATGATCCATAAAAATATATGTTATTAGTCTAATAAAAAAAAAATAATAAAAAAATTACATTTTCATATTCTTCACACTATATTAAAAAATTCTGAATATCTTTAGTGAAATCAAGTTAAACATTCATTTTATATATGATGTATCCGATATTTCATGCATTTATATTGTTGTGTTTTTCTCCCGAAGTATCACAATTTTCTTGTCTTGAAAAATCTGAAAAATTTGCACCGGAAATAAATTTTGTATATTAACTATTAAAATTTGTATTAACTTTAATAATGATCCAAAAATCAGTAATTATTCAATTTTTTTTTAATAATTATAAAATATAACCATACAATAAATAAAATAAATTGAAAAATATATAGTTATATATAAAAATATATAGTATAGTATATAGTATAGTATATATAAGTATATATACTATAGTATATATAAGTATAGTATATATAAAAATTGAAAAATAAATAGTTAATATATTTTATAGGAAATATACAATATATAAAAATAATAAAAAATTAGAACACTTTATAGTTTTTACGATCATTTCATGGAATTATCCTGTGCATATTTTATTTCATTTTAACATCTCAATTTTCTTAATATTAAAAAATATTTTGAAAAAAATTAAATATCAAAAGATATTCTGATGTTTTTAATTATTTCACGAATAGATGGTAAAGATATCCATTATGAAGGTCAATTTTGTTTTTTTAAATAGAATTAATAGAATATATTTCTTAATATACCAATTCATACGACAGTTCGATATTCTATAAAAAAAAATATTAACTCATATATGTTTAAAAATTATTAATTTGGCAAATATTTAAATTTAAATTTTATAAAAATTATTGAAATTTTTAAAAAAAAGCATGAACATTTTACTTTATGAATTCCTTATTTTTCACATAACAAATATTATAAAATTTAAATTAAAATATCTCTTAAATTAATAATTTTAGGCATATATGAATTAATATTTTTTAAAAATAAGAAATATAATATTAATATCGTTTAAATGTTTTGTCTCTCTATCGTCTTGATATATAGTCAATTTTTCCAAAAATAAGTTAAGTCTCAATCTAAAATTGAATTTGAAAAATTTTTCAAATGTTATATAATTTTTCAAATGTTACATGTACTATTGAAAATTAAAAAATTTTAAGCAGATTTAAACATTAATTAAAATTTCTTTTGTTTTGAACAATAATGCAGCAAAAATAATATGTATTCATGGAATAAAATCAATACAAAATCTATGACTATTTTGCAAGAATAATCAGAAATGTTTTCATTTCCAGTATAAAATTGATTATGATATAAGATACTTGAAATCAATACGATGTAAACTAATAAATGAGATATCTGACTAGACAAAAGTATTTGTTGATAATGTATACGATGAGATAATGCATATAATCACAAAAATTGATTAATCTTATCGAAAAATTTTTATCATATTCATAGCTAGTATATAAAATGCAATGAAAAACGATTCATAGGTACAGTTTATATTAAAAAGTATAACATAAATGATTAATTGCAAAATAAATTTCATGGTAAGTAGAATATTTAATTCTTAATATATTAAATATGTTTACATACTTGTTAGCCACCTATGTATTAAATAGTTCTTATTTAAGTTCATTATTAATCACAAAGCATATATATAATAAAAATATAATTCAAATATTAATATACATAACTATAATAATATACATTATAATAATATACATAATATACTAAATTAATATACATAACTATATATAAATGGATTTTTATGTTTATATATGTTTATCTTATTAATATATTGATGTTCAAATTAATTTGAAATCTTTGAGATTTTAAAATCTTAAATTAATAATTTTGTTTGCTTATTTTGTTATTTTTTCTTATTTGTTTATTAAAAATTTTATTTATCATCGCACTTTTAACTTCTTTACAGATGAAATTCGCTTCGGCAATTTTTGTTATACTGGTTGCAGCCAGTCCCCTGAACGCTTATAAAATCCCAGCCACTGGTTCTGGTGCCCTCGCCAAGGAATTTCAAGACTTTATAGACTTGATTCCGCTCGACCAAATAATCGAAGTGACGAAGACGTACTATGCCCAAGATACGCAATTCCGTAACATTATTCAATTGATGAAAACTGAAGAATTAAAACAATGGATGCTAGATATCGAATCGGTTCCCGAATTCAAATTACTGATAAATTACATTCAGAAGAACGGTCTCGATATTTATTACTTAGTTAATGAATTCAACAAATCTTTGAAACTTCCGCCTCTTGTCAGTGGAATCAAAGCTCTTTTCGGTTCTTTCGATAATAAAATCACTGGTGGTTTTATCGGTTATTTGATTGATATTGCTGCTCTTGTACCAATAGAGAAATTGTCTAATCTTTTCACTGAGAAAAACAAAAATTCCGAGGTATTCAAGGCTTTCATAGCAGAAGTAACTTCGTCTAAATATTTCGATTTTTACAACAATATTTTCGAGGATAAACATTATAAGAATTTGGAAAATGAGGCCGTAAAATTAGGCATAACTAGAAATGATTTCCATACTTTTTCTCCTATCTTTGTTTTCGTTGCGACAGCATTCAATGTGTAAATAACAATGCTTTCGATTAATTAATTGATTGATAAATTAATTAACTCATTTTTATCTTATGTAAAAAATATTTAAAAAAAAAAGAAATAAAGTGTATACTATATTGAAAACATGAATTTCTTTATTCTTTGTCCTATTTTTCTTTGTTCTTTTCGAATCTAAGGAAGAATTTGCTAGTTATTTGTGATAAAAATAAATTTATTTTATTTGTTTTTAAAATAAATAATATATTCTCGATATTTTTATGAAAAAAGTTTATAAAATTTATTTTTTTTACAAAATTTTGAAAATTTTGTTTTTCTAAAAAAATTTTATTATTATTTATTAATTAATTATTTAATGATTAAATAAATTTTATGTTTATCAAGATCTATCTTTCCATTATTTTTGTTAAATATGCTAATTTGTTTTATATAAGTCTTTTATTATGAATCTCTTTTTTTCTTGTTTTGCCGCTACTTAAATCAAGTAATTGTTTCAATAAATTATGTAAAAAATTATTTGTTGTATGAATCTTATAATTAAATAAAATAAACAGTAATTATTTATTAAATAAAAATTATATAATAAATGCAATCTGTTATATCCCGACAACGTATCAATATATTCAAGATTATTCATCCTTGGAATTCTAATGTAATACGAGTAATACGAGCATTGATTTACAACGTAAACGTATGAGTCTACTTTTGAATAAAAGTTTTTAGAAAATTTTTAATAATAAATCAGATACTTCAAGATTCTTTCTTTTCATTCAATATTAGACGTGTTATAAATCAGGCGTTTTGAAACGTTATTTGGAAACAATTTATGAGTCATGAGTTTTATGAGTTTTTATGCATGTGAGTCTTTTTAACAGTGAGTCTTTTTATCCAGATGACAACTTAGAAATCTCGAGAGTTTCATTTTAGACATCAGCCTTTCATTAAGAACGATCATGCGAAAGGGATACATGACTATCAATGTATTTCTCGATTGATTTTCCAAAAGAACAAAAATTGTTAATCGAGGATGCTGCGAGACAAGCGAATTAAACAAACAACGAGACGAGATCGAGAAACAAATCCAACCACCGCGAGAACAAGATTGTCCATCAACATCATTCTCAAACAAACTTATTTGTCATCAGCACTCACTTCATATCAACAGAACATCATTTCAATGAAATCCAGCATTTATTGAATATTGAATTTGAGAGAAATAGAAACAAAAGGTTTTCAATTGATCTATGAATTTCAAATTGATTCAAGTTAGTGATTTTTTTGTACATGTGAGGATAAGCAATTTTATATGTAAAAAAATACATTCAACTTTTTTAATCTGAAATCTTATGGAAGTATGTTTTGATTTGTTTCTATGGATTTCGATAAATAGGCAGATTGAATGTCATACAACAATTCAACTATGGATTTAAATAATATGTTTATACTATAAAATAATTTATTTATGGATTTATATAAAATAATGTATATGTTAATATTTTGGAATTTACTAAAATTTATTCGAGGTAAGATTTTATTAAATAAGAAATTATATAATATGTATATTATATTACATTATACTAAAATTCATTTAAAATAATCAATTATATATAAAAAAGTATTAATATATTTATTTTTATTGAAATGCTCTATTATACAAGCGACATTGAAAAGCGACAGTATTACCGCGCATCCAACTGAGCGTTCTCGCTCTTTCGCTGTCTTGCTCTATCTAATAAAAACTTAAAATGCTTATAACTCGTTAATTAAGCCTTATCGGACATATGTGTATATGAATTTTTTTCATCGTTTTAATATCTAGAATCCACCTTGCAAAAGTGTTCCACATTTTTATTAACACTCTGTATATCTTCAATAGATATGAATTTCAATTTTTGCCTAGAGCTAATAAAAAATAAATAATGATTGAGAGATTCAAATATTAAAAAATTTATGATATTTTGGTGATCACTTGTTTCATTCAAGGAAGATTTTCAAATCATCTCCATTTTTAAAATTACACATATCTTCTATTATACATAAATATTGCAAATCTAATCATACTTTATAAATATGTACATTATTTATCATTCATTTCGTTTTATTGTTATAAATTTTTAATTTTTTCAATTATATTATTCAATTATATATCAATTATATATATGTTTTTTGAACTTATAGAATACACTATACATATATGTGTATATATATATATATATAAAGTTTGTTTGAAAAAAATTGAGACATAGTCAATCAAAACATTAATCAAAACACAATAAAATTTTATTAACTATTCTTTCTTTCTCTGATTAGAAAAGAGTATTTATGAAATGTATCTATGAAAATAGTAAATTTGGAAAGATTGTGATTTTTCAATAAAACAACTAATGATACTCAGAATCAATCTTCTTAATCGTGACTTAAGAAGAATTTCTCAAATTAAGCTAAGAACAAATGGCAATAAGAATCTGAGAAAAAAGACTCGTTGCATTCAGAAATAGATCTATGTGTGTTTATTATAAATCTTCTTGAGAGATGATGTAATGATGATCTTGTCATTAAGATAAGACAGTTAGTTGGAAAATATAAATATTTATCATAATAGATCTCAGAATCTCAATTCTAAATATTCTTTAAATATTTCTCTTAAAACGGCATTGTTCTCTAAAAACATCAATTTATACGTTTTATTTTAAACTTAATAGAAATTTAATGGAGAAAGACAAAGAAATTTTTCCATTTTTTTCTGAATGGATGATGTTTAAGTCTCTTGATCATTTCCTAGAATAAAATTTATAATAATCTGTTAAGTTAAATATTTGTTAAGGATAGGATTTGTGAAATGGTTGAGTAATCTGGCTTTTATTTTCAACAGTTCGAGTACTTCCAATAACATAACAATAATTTATAAGCGGGCATGGTTTTCCTAACGCAGATCTTCAATTTAAATAAAGATATCACAGCAACAGCCACTTCATAAACCACACTTGCACGCCATGCGATGCCACCACTGTGGAAGCGAGCGTAAAGGTTCTGCGATGCGACCCTGTGAGGATCCATCCTTTGAAACCGCTACGAAATCCAATGCGACGATTGGTCTCTCCAACCCCTTCAGTGTACATTTTTATGAAAAGCAAGGATTGGAGAACAAATCGAGGTTCACAACAGTTTTGCAGTTGAGTTAGAATCATTACATTAGCCATAAAGAGTTAAAATACCACTATTCGTTCACTCAGATCTCCTAATATAAATGATTATACAGTCCTAGTAGGTAGTAGGTGGTTTTTCGAGCAATAGCATTAGTTTAGGCACGAAATTTGTGCAATATTCAAAGTTGTTCAGTTTTCAACTTAAAAAATACCTATTTCATTTTTTTACCAAATATGAATTTACATTTATTTAATGCTGCTTATAGAACAAATATAAGTATCAATTTTTTCGCCAAAATATTTTTCTAAAATTTTTATTTTTCTTAAGAGATTAATTATCGTCAAACTAAAAATTAGATAGAATTCAATAGAAGTTTATCGAACAGATTCACGATTTATTACGTTACAAGATTGTAAGATTAGATGTTCATATTTTTAAAATATTTTCAAAATCAGTTATGTAATTCTTAGAAATAATATTGTTAAGTGAAAAATAATATAAATAAATCAACTAACTACTACTTATAATTTATGAGATAACATTTATCATATAATAATTTAATTAATAAAAATTAATTAATCTTATCGAAACATATTATCATCGTATTCTTATCATATATATATAAAATGCAATTTGAAAAGTGATTCAATGATAGTTCGTGTCGAGAAACATAAGAAGCACAACTAATTGTAAAATAAATCACAACGTACAGTAGAAACTATAACTTACATTAAATTAAACACATATCACCCATATATCATTCTTATTAAATATCTAAATTATTTTTTCTATATTTGAATTAATTTGAATTAAAAATTTATATTTTAAATTATTACAAGTTATCTATAAAATTTTTTGAAATTTTTTATTTCAATCTCTTATACGAATCTTTCCAGAATTGTTTAAATACTTCTTTAAGAAAAACTTTATCAAAAAGTGTACTGAATGTAGATATAATGATACGAAAATATTGAAACTTTTCTTATAATGAAATTGTTAACAATAAAAATTCATATCAAATTTAAGTTTCGAAAGTACTCATAATTCTTATAAAATACGAATCAATCAAAATATATATATATGTATCAAGATGATATCTGATATTTTAATGGGATATTACTTTAAGGACGAAATAAATCCTTAAAGTTTCAAAAAATTTTTTCTTTTTTTTCTTTAAGTATAATTTTATAATAAGAATGTAGAAAAGATACAAAATAAAATCAAATTTTAAATAATTCTAAATTTTAGTGCTCTTTGAAAATGTAAAAGAATCCTGAAATTTTAAAAATAAATTTCACTTCTGCTGAAAAAAAATTATTTTATATGTATTATGTTTTACAAATATATAAACTTTTATTAAAATCAAGATTTTCAGATCAATTGAATTTCTTTATAAAATAGTATTTGAATATTCATTGTTAATTATTGCAAATGATTCTTAATTACAATATTCTTAATTACATTTATGATAAGAAAATAAAAAAAATTACGAAGTAATGATTAATTACTTTTGTTTATTAAAAATTCTATTTATTTTTTTAATTTTGTTTCTTTAATTTTTTCACAGATGAAATTTCTTTTGGCTACTTTTATCGCTTTAATCGCGAACAACTCCTCGTATGCTTTCAAAGTTCCAGCTGTGGGTTCCGGCGCTCTCGCTAAGGATTTGCAGGATTTCGTTGACTTGATACCATTTCCAGATCTTGTCAATTTGACTAAAACATATACTGCTCAGGATAAAGAGTTTAAGACAGCTATGAACCTGATGAAATCTGTCGAATTAAAAGAATGGCTGCAATTCGTTGAATCCAATCCAGAATTCACGGTGCTGATGAATTTCATGTGGAGAAACGGTTTAAATAGTTATAATCTTGTGAATCAGCTAAACGAAAAAGTGGGCATACCACGTATACCATTTATTTTTAGAAAATTTTTTCCTAATATATTCAATCTTAAAATCACCGGTGGAATTAATGGATTCATAAAAGATGCCAAATCTATCGTTCCAATAGAGTCTTTAAAGAAATTGTACAATGATAAACTTAAAACTTCGCAAGTGTGGAAAAGCGTTGTGGATGAAGTTACGTCAGATAAATATCATGGCTATTACTATTACATATTCAATAATTTATACTATCGAAATCTTGAACAAAATGCTACAAATGCCGGTCTTAACAAAGATTCTTTTCGTACTTACTTACCTATATTAATTGTAGCTTCTATAATTTAAACCTATGAATAAAATGATTGAGATTTTTATTCTATTAAAGAACGAAATATATTTATTTTGAATTTAAAATATGATCTTGATTGTTTGTCTCACTATCTTTGTAAATTAAGTTTAATTTTTGAAAAAAATTGATTTAAAAATTATTTTGTTTTTATTTATAAAATTTTGAAAGCAATATCTTCGAAAGCAATAATTTTGAAAATTATTTATTTTAGAAAAAATTTTTTATTTAAAAGTTATTAAAAAAATTTCCATAATTTTTATTTTTATATTTTCATAATTCAGATTCGAAATCAAAAAATTATTAAACAAAAATTTCTTAATTTTTATATTTTCTCAGTAGTTGTTAATATTTGATTTATATAATATGATATAATAATTTCAAAAACATAATTTAGAAATTTTTAAAAATTTCCCGATGATATGAATTTGCATTTGTATAATATAATAATCTTAGAATAATCATGAAAAATTTTGTAACAATTCGTAAAAGTATTTTAATTAGAATATCATTTATATAACATATAATAATCTTAACATTATATATCTAATATTTTTACTACATATAAGCACTGATTATTTAATTAAAGTGGAACATCGATTTACAGTGTATATCTATGGCGAAATAAAGTAATAAATCGAATGTTTATGATGATGTAATAATGATATTCTTAAATGATTTCTTTTGAAAATTATGCATTATATATAATATGAAAATATGTCTACTATTTTCTCTTTTTCAATTGTACTTTTTAAAATGTTTATTAAAATATCTGCCTTGTCCACTAATATTCTTTTTTTTAAAAAATGAATTCTTTAATAAATAATTGAATTAGAATTCAAATTTATCAACCTTATTTTTAAAAAATTTTTCAATTTTTATATCAAAATTGGGATTAATTTTTTTCTTTTTAAATTTTAAATAAAATGCTAGACAGGAAAAAAAGACTAAAAAACATACGTTTCTTTCATAAAAATATATATCTATGAAAGTAAATGACATAATTAAAATTCAAATTTATCAATTTCATTTTCTAAAAATTTTTCAATCTTTATATGAAAATTAAAGTTCATATTATTATTTTTTTTATAAATTATTAAAGAAATTAAATTTTTACAAATGTAGACACAAGTTAGAAATAAAAAATATATTCCTTTCTTCTATAAAAATAAAATAAACGACAAATCAAAGATCAAATGATCAACTTCATTCTCCATAAAATTTTTTTCTTATTAATTTCTCAATATTAGTATCCACGAACAAGAATTTCTTTCTCTTTTACACGATTTATTTTTCGAACGATTAATCCCAATGAGATTGATCACTTTGACTTTTTCGTGACTTAAATAATGTATAAGTTTATCATATTTTATTCAATAATCGAATTCATAACAATTCTTAAGTGATCAAAGTTTGTGTAAGATAGACGTACAGTTCGTTGAACAGTTCGATCGCGAATGTGATCTCTAAACCGCCCTCCTTCGCCCAAAAGTAATGATGATGCAGCACATCGTTGGATTCGAGCGCAGTGCAAAATTCCCGGAAATCTTTTGACCTCAATGCGAGCAGAAATCTGCGAAAACTCGCCGAGTATTTAACTTTCTGTCGCAATAGTTCGTGCAGCTCGTCCATAGGTATGGTCTCCAAGATTTTATTGATCATTACAGTCAGGCCTCCGTTCGCCAGACTCGGTTCGTATTTAATAAACCTAGGTGACATCTTCCAAAAATATCGTATCTTGTCTTGCCAAGAATCTACGTCCAATCCGTTTTGACGCAAGAAAGAAATCAATTTATGGGCTTCAGGCATATTTTGAAATTCGCGTAAGATAAATCTCTTCTGATCGTTCACAAAGCTCACTGTGTCGCCGATCTGAGCGTCATATTTCATATATCTTTCAATGATTCGTTGTACTTCGGCCATGGGGATGAACGCCAAAATATCTTTGAGATCTTCGTCGAGAGAACTATTGTCCTCCAATGGTGGCACGTTAACTAGATCGGGATAGTTGGATTGTAATCTCATCCGATAAGCGAGAAATCCGAAAAAAACGATCGAAGCAGCTGCCACCACACTGACCAGCATGATTTGTGGATTCATCTCTTTTGGAAGATTAATCCTTCAGTTTTTAATTAGAAGGAAATCATTGTATGATTTGAAAGAATTTGTTTCTTCGGATGCAGTTTGTTTGAGGCACGATATTAATATGTAGCGATTGATAAGGTTCGTTGATCAAAGTCTGGATATAATGTAGAGAAAAACGAATAATAAGTTTGAATTTTCGAACAATGTTGCTTAGCTATGTTAAAGCTTTAAACACTCAAGGAACTTACGAATGGGAAAGTTTGCGTGATTAAGGTATCAACGAACGAGGGATCTTGTTTAGAGTGACTGAGTAGATTTGGGCCATCATACAATGATAAATGTTTCTTTTATTAAATTTTATGCGTTCTTTGATGAACACAAGAATGAAATTAGGTTATGATGTTCGGATATTATCTCTTTGACACGGGGTACAGTGGAATAGAAGATTTCTGGATATGGTTACGAGAAATTTTAATTTACTTTATGACAAAAATTTAACTGGAATTGACATATTAGTGGATTAATACGCACGTGTCATAGTTATGTGCTGTAAGACTACGAAGTCAACTGAGTTTCGTAATAATTCTTTTCAAAACTGTATTCATGTCTATTATGAAGTAAAATGAGAAACATAATAGGCAATTTAGAATGAAGAGAGAAAGAGAGAGAAACAATATTTATTGATTAAATTATAAATTAACAAATATTTATAATTAAAATTTATATTTTAAATTTTTTATTATATTAAAAATCTAGATAATTTTTTGATTATTTGAAGTGAAAATATTATGAAAATAACATTTAAAGAATATTTTTATTTTATAGAATATGGAACAATAAAATTAGTTTAATGTAAAATCACACGAAAGTTGTTTTTATATTTTTACATATATAACGTTAAACTTTTGCAAAAATGTACGATATATATGATATATATAAATTTTTTCTTTGAAAAAATTAAAAAGATATATTGATCACGTAATATTGACAGATTAAATAATAAATGATAATGTGAAGAATCAAGTAATCCTAATCGATTACATAGTACATAGTACAACTGTATTGAAATAATCACGTTTTACAATATTGTATTCAATTATCATCTCATATCGTACACGTATTATGACGTAAATTTGTAATATGATAAAATATCTATATATATTTTTAGTTCAACTAAATTTAATTAATAAATTAAATAGTTAAAGATGTCAATATCATGATGCTTTTCGAAATTTTGATAGGATTATGGAAAAGAAAATTATGAACAAAGTAATATACATTTTTTGATTAAAAAAATTCGATATTATTCATATATGTCTACATAATAAAATATCTATGTATTATTTTGAAAATTATTTTAATTATAAATAATATAACATCAAAGAAACAATAATAAACTATATAGAGAATTTCATAATTTATTTTAATTTTTTTTTCATTGACAAATATCATATTAAAATGACATATAAAACTTTTTTTTATATTACATATAAAATTGTTGTTTTCTTAAATCTTTAATTTCAAAGTTTTTTTGAAGTATCAAATATTTAATCAAAATATTGTAATCTTAATAATCTTATTTATTTATTTTTATATCTAATTAGTTTTCTCATTTTAAATTAATAAAAATTAATAAAAATTGTTGATATATAATTTATAATATTGAAAAAATTGATCAAAAATTATTTATTGTTTTAATTATAATTATTATTAATATTAATTAAAAAATTATCTGAATAAAATGGAAAATATATCTATCGTTTTTTATCAGAAAATTTATATTTTAAACAAATATAATAAATATCTTATAATTTTTAAATAGAAGTCGCATTTCGACATTTTCAATGAAATATCTATTTTATATTTACCAATTTATTAAAAAATTATGAAATATTAAAAAATAAATATTAAAAAATATTTATAAAAAATTATGAAATATTAAAAAATTCACGTAAATAATATATAATATAATTTGAATATTTTTATTATCGATTAAAGAAATGCATAACCTTGTTAGTCACGTAACATTGACAGATTACATAACAGAAGATAATGTCGGCAAATGGCGAATTCTTTAAAGAATAATCATAATTTATTAAATACAAATTGTGGAAATCGCAATCATTGCTGCTTCTTTTAATAATATTTACTTTTTTTTTATTATCATTTTTTATCATGCACGTATTATAATATATTTTTTTTATGATAAAATATTGATGTTATTTTCGAAATGCATCTTAAAAAAACTCTCAGTTGAATTTGATTTATTGAATTCAATTTAATAAGTTTTTGAATATGCTCTATATTTTCCAAACTAACGAATTCAGAATAAAATTATAAAAATAATATGAAACAAAATTATAAAAATTATAAATATAAATATATAATATTGTCATAATATAATATTGTCATAATATATCATGCTTCAACATTAAGAATTATCAAAATTTTTATTTAAATTATTATATATATATATAAATATATATAATTATTATTATATTTATTATTATATATATAAATTAAATTATTACTTTATTTTTTATTAATAAGTATATATTTGTAAACTATTAAATATAAATAAATAAAAATAAATATATAATTATTATATTAATTTTAGTAATTATATACTAATTTTTTAGTAAATTGTAAAAAATTTTATCATACTAAATACTAATATTTATTTGATGTTTCAAATATTTGTTTTATTTTAAAGGAAAAAGCTTTAAATTTTTCGAAATATACTTGTGATTATTTCATTGATTGGAATCTATGTATTAAATATTCAAAGTCATTAATTATAAAAATTAATTAATTAATTATTATTAGAAAACTTATAAATTATTATTCTATAAACTTTGAATGTTTAATATACTAATTATATAATATATAAAAGAGAATAAAAAGAGAATATAATACAATATATATTCATATATAAAAAGTATTCATATATAAAAACACACAGAAATCGAAAAAAACTATAATATAAGAGTTCTAATTTATTATTAATCCGCTAAATTGATCTAGAATACAAATATATAAACATATAAATATAACAAATATATAAATATATAAAATATAAAATGTATTTGTATCCAAATACATTATATATCCAAATATAAAAATAATATAAATATCATTATAATATTGTTTTCATCATTTTCTTATTTAATTCAAATTAAATAATTAAATAAATAAATGAAAGACTTTTAAAAGAAAGACTAGTTTTATATTATTATTAAAAAAATAAACCAATATCAAACCAACAAAATTCAGTCTTGGCATTTGGTACAAGTTTTATGAGCAATTTCGATTATCTTTTGACTGAAGATACTCTGAAACACTCATATCTTTATCAATAATTATTTAAAATCCAGAATTATCTATATATTTCAAACATATCTCCATTTTCTTCTGAAAAAGTGCCATTTTTTTTTTTTAAATTGTCATCTTTGATTACAATTAACGCTTAAACGCTTATGTTCTTCAAAAACGCATTTATCACATAATTCTTTTTAAATCTGAACCGATATTTTTGTGATTTCTTCGTCTTTTATAAACCTTGAAAACATGAATTTGCAAAAATAATATTAAATATTAAATACAAATAAAAAGAAAATAAAATAGGTCATAGGCAGACTTAAGATTACATTAAGATTTATTTGAAATTTAATGTTACTATGTATTTTGCGTATTTTAAATATTTATTAGAAAATTTAATAAATATTATTTCTTTATGTATATTTACTTGAAAATTCACTACAATTTTTTATTTGTTTTTATGCATACTTCATTGCTCTTTGAAGTTTTGATCATGAAATAAGAAAAACAAAAAAAAAATTACAAAAATGAAAAAAGTATGATATTTATTTTAGAATTTCACTTATATACAGATATTGCATAATTATTAATTATTAGATTAAATTAAATAAACAATATTAAATAATTCAATTTCTATTTTATCCATCTATAAAATTTTTTAATAAATAAATTATTTAAAATATTTAAGTAATTAGAAAACTCAATTATAATTTTACTTTTTAAAAAATATTTCTTAATTATACTATAATAGTCATAGCAAATATATGATTAATATTTAATTTTATAAGAACCAAATTTATAGTAAATTTTATAGTTTAATTGATTTAACTTTCGTTAATTTACTTTTAAAATAATTGAAAATATGTTTATTTTCAAATTTTATTTATTACTTTATTTAAAGAAATTATATCTTCTTTTTATTTGATATTTAAAATGAAAGATATTTAATGAGTAAAAAGATATTTAATTTAATAAAAGCAATTTATTTAATTTTAAACTTTTAAATTAAAATTAATATAATATTAATATAATATATAATATTAATATAATTTGTGATGTACAATTTTTCAAATTAAAAAATTATTTCAACTGTTTCAACTATTAGAATTATTATATTAAATAATAGATTGTGACTATTAGAATGATCCACTACAACCATTTATTATCTAATCAGCCAATAATAAGTAATTAATAGATTTATTCATATTTTATAATAAATGATAAATATTCACTATTTTTTTCATATGATCAATTAATTTCATTTGAAATTCTAAATATTTTTTATTTCAATTAGTATCTCATACGTCATACATAAATGTCTTAAATACAAAAAACGTTATAAACGTTTAATTGCAAATGAAAAAAATATAAAAAAAACATTTATTATATAATCTTATCTTTTATCTTTATCTCTTAAATTATTTAAAAAAAATTATTATATTCATATAATTCTTTTTTATATGTATATTCAATTTTTCTTTGCTTATGCTATTCTAATTGAAAAATGATAAGAAATATTTTATTTCTTAATAATTATATTATTAAGATTGAAAAACAAATATTTAGTATAATATAGAAGTAAAATTTTAAAAATTAAATTTTAAAAGTATAAATTAAAAATATATTATTTATTATCATATAATTTTACATTCTGAAGATTCTGTTATGTTATCTCTTTTTTTCAATTTCGATATTCTATCTGATAAGTTTATGATTTCATTATTCTATTATCTGATAAGTTTATGATTTCATTATTTTCATCTATAACATTAATTTGATTAGACATCGATATGACAGATATCTACAGTTATCATTCCAATTTTTGATTATGATATAACTTATGTTAGGAATAAAACATGCAAAACTAATAGCATGCAATTAAAGAATTTTTACAAAAAAAGAAAATTAATTTTCAAGATATATGATCTCAAGCTTATATATATTCAAAGTTAATTTAAAATTAAAAAACTTATTATTCAAAAATCATGGTAATAAAATTTCAATTCATAAAAAATTGAAAGTTTTTAAATTTTTTTAAATATTTCCTATCTATAACAGGATAAAAATTAAAAAAACAAAAATTCATTAATCAATTCATTTATTCATTTATCAATATCAAAATACACACTATTTATTAAATTAAATTTATTAATTATATTGTATTTAATTTAATAAATTTTATTTTACTTTTTTACTTTTTTTATTTAATAGATAATAATTATATTTAATAATACTATATACTGTCAATAAAGCTTCAATACACTGTGAAAATTATATAAATAGATTTATATATTTTTATTCTATTATTTAAAAATACTATTAATTAAAAATAATGATGAATCAATCCTTTAATAATGAGGAAGGTAACAAAGTTTACGTGGAATGTTTCGCTGTCAACGTTAAGATGTTTAAGTTGTTTTAACATCGTCTGGAAATGGATATTTGTAAAAGTGCTTGTGAATAAAACTTCATATTGAGAATCAAAGAGTTCCTCTACAAAATTTTTAAACACTTCAGAGGTCTCAATCTTGTATTCATACATGTTCATCCAATCGAATACTGGCAAGATGCTCGAGAGATCTTTAATGAAACCTTTGATACCTCCAGTGATCTTGATCTGAGAATCAGACGAAACTAACACTTGTTCTTCTTTTAAGGATTCTTTCAATTTTTCCAAAATAGTATAAGCGTCGAGGCCATTGTTTTGCAAATAATTCATAAGATTCTGGAATTCTGTCATATTTTCCAAATCTTCAATATAATTCTTTATATCATCATATTGTATAAAGGACATGATCCATTGAAATTCTTTGTCTCTAACCAGATATGCTTTTGTAAGTTCTATCACATTGTCAATGGGTATGATGTTTAGGAAATATTGGAATTCTTGAGCCAGTGCACCTGAGCCAAGATTTGGTACTACGTAGGCATTAAGATGACCGACTGCGGCGATTAAAGTCACAATTCCGAAAAAGAATTTCATCTATAATATAATTGGAAAATAATTAACATTATTCGATGATTATGATTGTTATAACAATTGCACAAATGTTCATAAATCTTGCGTGAATTCAATTAATAGTTGTGACAAAAACTAATAATAGATAATTTTTTTATAGAAATTTTTTATTTAAGGAATAATGAATTAAAAAAAGAACAATTTTTTTATTAGTGAAATATTGTTTCGATTGAAATCGACACTTAAAATTTCAATATTTTTAAAATATAATTTTGCTATATTCGAATGAAAATGTTTTACATTTTAATGCTCTATTATCATATAATAAAAAATATTTCTAGAAAAAATTATAATTAAAAGATAACAAAATAAAAAAAAAAATTTTTGGAAATTTACAGATTGATTTCTTGCTTTCAGAGAGATTTTCCATTAAAAAAAAAATTATTGCACATATAACTCATTATGATACATAAACTTTCATTAAAATTAGAATTTTTGGATTTAATAAATTTTTTTATAAAACTTTGTTGTTGATTGTATGCTTTATCATTAATGAAATCTAATTTTTAATATTTACACACTACCATTGTAATTTATGTTTGTTGATTAACAGAAATGTTCTGAAGCATAATGTACATAGAATAATATAGAAATAAAAAATTTCAATTAACATCACAATAATATGAATTATTAATTAATAATTAGAGATATGAATTATGATAATTAATTATTATAATAATACGTAATTTGATTATACGTAAATTGTTATTATGATAATCTGAAGTTCAGATTGCTTACCTTTAGACGTATGCTTTTTTAGGTAGTAATATTGATAAAATTCTAACATAAAATACTTCATCATTGCATTTTATATACTACTATGAATCCAGCCTATTTCTTCTGATAAGATTATTTGAAATAATCGATGAAAATCAGACACAAGAGAGTCGCTCCAAATTTAATTGTCTAATAGATAATAAATAATTCATTTCATGACAAGAAAGTTTCGAAAATGAATTGCGAAAAATATACATGATTTCATATAAAATTACATGATTTCATATTATCTATAATTGCTGTTGTATATATGTATGTATATTGTTATATTTAAATTAAATTTATATATTTTAAATTAAATTTATACTATTCGCTATCTCATATCACATATATATGAAACACATATATATATATATATATATATAATGTTTTTTACAACGAACATTAATTATTAATTTTAATGAAATTTTATTATATTTAAGATAATTATACATATTAAAATAAATGATAATTATTTGCTTATTTAATTTTTTACATAATATAAAATTATATAATATTTAAAATTATATAAGTAATATTATATAATTATATAAAATTATATAAGTAAAAATTATATAATATTTAAATGTTTCTTTTTATAAATAACGATAAAAAGAAACATATTAAAATTTTTTTAAACGTTCATCTCTTTATCTATGAAATAGTTAATTGATAAAATTTTTATTAATAAAGTTTCTATAATGTAAATATTACAGAAATATTTAAATGTAACATATATGTATTTCTCTTATATTGTATTATATAAAAATTGTAAACAAAATGAATTTTTATTTTACTAATTTTAATTTATTGAATTATTTATTTGCTAAATTATTGATATATATGTATATATATATATATATATAATATATAAACATATAAATATATGCATAATGTATATATTTATATTATATTATAAAATATATATTTATATTATAAAAATATAAATATATATATATATATATATATAAACATATTAATAAACTTTAATAACTTTTTTAATAAATTATATTCAATATAAATGTATAATTTATGCACTTGTATACTATATGAGTATAAGTTAATTTTATATATTATTATGTTATTTACTATAACATTCGAAAGATGAAAATAATATATCATATTGTTTTATATTTATTGAATTGTTAAATTATATCAGACAATGAAAATTTGATGATTTTAAAATAAAACAAATCTTCTAAATATATTTATCGATAGTTGATATAAAATTGATAAATTAGCTTCATCTTGGAATGATAAACATCAATGATGAATATACAATTGTATTTATGTGGCGTCCTCTATGTTATATTTCACGAATCATGAAATCGTTATTATTGTGAAAATACGAAAATTTTAGATGACAAATAATGCAAATATTACAAATGAGAAGTATCAATTGTATTAATATGTAAATTGAATATTAAATTATATTGAATTATCTGATTTTAAATTGAAATTAATAATGATAGAAGATATTTAATTATATATTTATTTTATAATATTTAATACAATTTTCATTAAATTAAATTCCAATAAATTAAAAATATTTAAAATTTTAATAAATATATTTTTAAAGTAATCTATAATAATTATCATATTTAAAGAAAATAATTCATCTTGATATAATTATAAACATAATTTAGAATTTCTAAATTTTAAAATTTTATTAATATTACTTCACATACATGTATTATTAATTAATTAATCGATAATTATCGACAAATGAAAACTCACAAATGAAAACTCACAGTAAAGAGATATAAAATAGATTTGTGTATTTGTGGATCAATGATCTAATCTTCTAAAATACCGATCGCGCAACAAATCAAAGATTTTAATATGCTCTTAAAATGGTGAATTTAAAATTAAAGTTTATTAACATCTTATAATTAAATATTTCTCTGATATTTACATTATAGAAATTTTATTCAATAAAAATTTTATTAATTAAAAAAACCCTGTTTTACATGTACATTTAAAAATAAGAAAATATATATATATATCTAACACAATATAATATAAACTACATAACATGACTTTATTAAATTTTTTTTATTATTAATGAATCAACAGAAATTTTTAATTCCCATAAATAATTTTATATCAAATAATTTTTTAATATATATGATATATAATAAATAATTAAAAATAATTTTTTAAAATATTTAAAATAATTTTAATTAAGAAAAATAAATAAATTCGAATTTCACAAGAAATGTTTGATGTTATTTTGAGAAGATTAATATTTTTTTTTAAACAATATATTATAAAAATACTTATTTATTTTATTATAATGAAATGATATACATAAGATTCATATTCATAACGTATAAAGAATATATTATGAATAAATTATTAAGATTGATTTAATATAAAAGTTAAAAGTTAAAGTTACAGAAATTAAAATATAAAAAAGAAAATTTAACACGAAAATTAATCAAAAATAGACATCTAATTATAAATATGAAGATATATTCTTTTGCATTCGAGGTTTTTTTCGCTCGGTTGAATTAACAACTCAAGTCGATTTTCCGCATGTTCAATTTTTAACAGCTAATTCAAAATAATTTCAGACACAAATTACCGTATAGAATTATATTTTATATTTTAATATTTTATATAACTTGACATGTAAAGAAAGAAAATTTGTTGAATATTAAACTTTATATTGTTGTTTTGTGTAATATTTTATAAAACAATCGCCAAAATGAATCCTTGGTTTGTTAGGGCAAGTCAATAAAATATTGTTTCATCTTTCTTATTTCGTTAAGAGCAAACCTTACACTCTTTCTTAATTTCTAACATACTCTCACATTCATTGTCTATTATTCTTCTATTCGCTTTCTGTTATTTTATCTCTATTTTCATCGTTGTTTTTCTTCTTTCTATCGTCAATTTCTTTATGAATAAAAATAATTTTGTTATTCAATAGCAAAAAATCAAACTCATCTCATTTGAACTAATTTCATTACCATATTCTATGCTACAAAACTTAAAAAATAATATTTGTTTTGATAGCAATAGAAATAATATTTCTATTGCTACGACTATCAAACTTGTTGATTAATGTCAAAAATGCAGTCCGATCCACGATCTAATTTGAAATAAGAAATTCTAGCTATTTGGTAGTATATTATTCTATATTTTACAAGATTACGTATGAAGTTTAGAAATTTATTCATAAAGCGATATTTTAAAAAAATCAACTATATATAAATATTGTTTATGAATAAATGCTCGAATTGCTATATCAATCTAAGTCTAAGAATCATCAATCGAGTGCAAAAAGATATAATATTTATAATATTTATTATATATATTATTTATTTATATAATATTTATAATTTTATCTAAATTAAAAGAATTAAATTAAAAGAATTTCGCAAGACTTAAATATTATAGATATGTATAATTCTTGCAATTAATATTGATTTTTAATGAGTTTTTTAAATATAATATTTTTAATATATATTATTTTTTCTTTTCAAAAATTATGTTTTAGAAAACGATGCCAATTATTAAATCTCAGCGCGAAAAAAAAAAAATTACGCATGAGACTCTCCTATAAAAAATATAACAAGCATAATTAATTTGAAAGTTGAATAGAACATAAACTGAACATAAAATTTTAAATATTAATATAAATTTCGAAAAAAGCAAAGGTTATAAAATCTTTAAAATATAAAAAAATATAAATTAGAAAAATTAAAGAAAAAAATATGAAAATAAATACTAAATAAATTAGAAACATGAAAATGTTTAAAACATAAAAAAAGAATTCAACGTAAAATCTAAAAAAGGATACAATATAAAATGTAAAATCTAAAGTATTCGAAACAAATATTAAATACAGAAAATAACATAAAAAAATGAATTAAGATTTAAATAAATCTGCGAAACTAGAATATCAAAAAGAAATTTAAAACATGTTAAATTAAAAAAACTGAGAAGAAAAATTAAAAGAAAATTTATTATGAAATTAGAATTACACACAGATTATGTTTATGCAAAAAATCATTAATTACAATATATGTGTACATGACAAAATGATATTCGATGATAGATTCGATGATAAGTTATACATAATCTCTTATTGCATTATTCAATAATATAAAGTTTATCATTATTTCAATTTATTCTTTAATTCTAAACATAAAATCTATAATTCATACATATTAGCAACATTTATATTAAAGATTATTTTCGTCTTATTTAAAGCAAAGAAAGAAAAATGAAGTTTTTAATACATTATTAAGAAATTTAACAAAAAATATATAATAATGTTGCATGAAAAATTTTTTGAGATTATATATTTCTTAGAAACATTTCGGCGTGGTTAAAGTCTGAATATGATCTTTGGATTTGAGACAATATTTTCTAACCTTCTTTCTTATTAATTTTAATATCAGCATTCTTTTGGAAGAAATTTATAATAAATACTTGTAGAATAGCGTTCTCGGGAACAATGTTTGCAGCATTCTTTTTCAATTCAAGAAATTTTTCTTAAGTTAGAGGAGTCATACAATCAAAATAAAAATTTACAATATTATTGGCTGATATGATATGTCCCGAAGAATCCTTTGAGATGAAAGAATTCAAAGAGTATAAGCGTTTTTCGAATAGGGATCGATGAAGTTTATCATAAAAATATAATTTGGAGAAAATAGTTCAAATGATTAAAAAAAAAAAATATATAGAAAAATATAGTGAATATATAAAATTATTATTATTCTTTTAAATCAGAAAATATATTTTTGCAGAATATCCTGGTAATAAATTTAATTCAAATATTTATCTTATGATTACTTAAAGACAAAGGAATACGTATTGCAAGGCACGATATATTATAATGTTTCACAATCCAACGATTGAATTTTGATCTAACTTAAATAGATATTTAAATAGATATATCTAATTTAAATAGATATTTAAAAAAAATTGAAAAAATGATCTTCTTAAAATTTTCAAAAACAATGAAAATTTTTCAAAGAATGAAATAAAATACTAATTACTAAATCTCGTTATGAGCAGAAGATTTCAAATTGAAATCTGCTTATAAAAAATATAAAAACGAATTATTAAAATTAATTTAAAAGGCCTGAAATTAAAAATAAATATAATAATTAAAGATTTAAAAATAAATTAAAAATAAATATAATAAATAAAAGATTTAACAAAAAAAAAAAGAATATAAAAAAATCTCTAGTAAAATTGGATTAATCAAATGAAATCGAATCATTTTTTTCTACAAGATAACATGACAACCTAATATATACAACTTTAAATAACTCAAATAAATAAATTATTCGTTTTATGAAAAAATGTTTTATTTAAAAAATACAGTGTATAATAAAATATAATATCATATTTTTAATTTTTTTTGTAAATGAACATATAACAATAATATTTTGAAATATAATAAGAACAATAAGAAAAACATAATTAACAAAATTAACGTTTTCATATAAAGTAAAACTTAAAGTTCACAACTAAAGTTCACGAATGAAATCTATTATTCAGATTTATTTCAATTAATCCATTAATAATTTCTTATTTAATTTCTTTCATCCCTTAAGTAACTTAAGATCGATTTAAATTGTGTGAATTTCTTGAACGTTGATCGATTTCATCTTTCGTGGAAGAAAGGTAGTTCGTTAACACAACGGAAATTTCGCCGATTAAACGAGAAAACAAACGGGTACCGTGTGCGGCAAATAGCTTCGAGTGGTAACGGCAGCGATTTGATAAATAAAAGAGGACCATGTTGGAGCACGTGGCGCTAACTTTTAAAAGGAAACTAAAGGGGCGTCTTAACCGAGGCATCTTTCCTGTTACTACCGGGTTGAGTCCCTATCATTTCGTTCTTCTTAGGTAATAACCAAGAGAAGTACGAACAAGGGGAGAAACAAGCCGGTGCACGTCGCTTCTCTAATTAAAATTGTTACAATTTAATAAGCCTCGGAACTCGCCATTGGTGCGTCAAAATGAAAAATTATAAGAAGACTGAACGATATAAAAGACAAAAGAGAAATAAAATGATATTCGGATGTATGAAGGTTAAGAACCGAAAAATTGATCAAGGAAAGAAATATTGAAAGAAAAGTATAAAAGAAATAAAAATGTAAAAAATGTTGTTAATGGATATGAATATAGAAAACAAAGATATTTTTTAAGAAAACAACAAGAAAATGAAAGATGTTGCAGATGGACATAATAAAAAAGATAAAAATAAAAATAAAAATAATTTTAAAAAAGGGAGAAGATATGGAAAGATATGAAATATTATAGATATGACAAAAGAAACAAAGCAAAAATAGTTTCGAAGAAAAGAAAAGAAAGGAATAAAGAAAAGAATATTATTAATAAACATAATAATCATAAAAAAAATAACCGCATATAAAGAAGAGAAAAGAAGAGAATGAAGGATGTTGCAAGTGGAAACAAAATTTTGAAGAGGAAAAAAAAGAAAATGTTGTAAATAAATAAAATACAAAGAATAAAGATCAAAATAATTTTAAACAGGAAAAAAGAAAATCAGGATATAGACACGATAAAAAAATAAAGATAAAGATTTCTAAAGAAGAAAAGAAGAAAAGATGATATCCTGTGATTTATGATAAAATACAAAAGAATAATATGAGTTGATAAAGATAAATATAGTTTTGAATAAAGACGAAAAAGATAAATAAAAAAAGATAAATAAAATATTTTGAATAGAATATAGAAAAGATGAAGATAATTTTAAAGAAGAGAGAAGAGAATAAAAAGTGTTATAAATACAAATGATTCAAAAAAATTAGACATGTTTCAAAAAAAGAAAAAAGAAAAGATAAAGATATTGAAAAGATGAAAGAAAAAAAATGAAATTGCAATATTTTACTAGATAGAATTTAATTCACTATCTCTAGATTAAATAAAATTGAATATATATATATATTCAATAGTATATTATTTTAAATTTATAAATTGACAATTCTATCTTAAGATTAAAATTAAAGAGATAAATAAATATAATAATTAAACAATAATTATAACAATTTTGAAATTTATTGAGATAATATTTAAATGATTAGAGCTTTTTTACAAAATTTTTACAAATTTTTTAAAAAATTTTGTAACAAAACTTAAAAATTTATTATCATCATATAACGAATTTAGAATGGATTTAAGGTCTAGGGAGATGAATGCCAAGAACATTCTCAATCAAATCTCTGAGTGGTTCGAGATTCAATCCAGCTTCGATACACTTTTGTCTCATTTCCAAAAAGATAGGTGAACTGTAGACGGTTTTGACGATGTGTTGGAAATCGTCCGAGCGGAGTTTTTCTATGAAGGTTTTGAAGGCAGCTGATGTTTTCATTTTTTCATCGTACAGAGTTCTGAATTTGTCCAATGGAAGAGCAGCTTTCACAGCATCAACCAAAGCTTTAACTCCACCAAGATTGGAGTATGTACTCATGGATAGGTATTTAATATTAACTTTAGGCGGCACGTAGTCTTCCATACCGAACAAATGATGGATTTTGTTGATTAGTTCGGTCATGTTCAGACCAGAATTTTCCAAGAATTTTACCAAATCTTGATATTCAGGCATAGCTTCAACGATGCGAACCAAATCATGGAATTCGTCGCTATACATATATTTAAGAGCTTTCTGTACTTCATCATCTTCCAAATAGGAATTGATAATATTTAAAATCTTATTTTTATCAATTAAATTCATGAAATCATGAAGATCTTTGGACAATTCTTGAGAGGCGAAAGTTTCCATGGTTTCGATTACTGGGAATTCAACTCCAAGGACGGTGTAAATAATGTCTTCGATCAAGACAAAATCAATGCCCTTCTTGATTATCAATGCACGGAAGTTCAAATAACGTTGATTTACATAGAGAGCATCGGCAAATTCTTGGTTACCTTTAGATTTCAATTCGGCTACGAAGTCACGGAAAGCCTCAGAAGTCCTCATCTTGTACACATAACCATGTATGAATTTATCATAGGAGATAAGTGCCTTGACGTCATCGAACAAACCTTTCACTCCACCGGTGATTTTTTTATAATTGTACTGGTGAATGGCTGGAATTCCGATTACCTTGTTCAATTTATTCAATTCATCGTAAATGAAAACACCGTTATTTTGCAAGTAATTCGCGAATCTACGGAATTCAGGCATAGCCTCGACATCGACAATCATATCCTTGAATTCAGTTGTTGAGAAATACTTGAGAAAATCTTGGAATTCGACATCATTCGCGGCATATTCCAGAACGGTATTTATCACCTTTTCCATGGGAATCATGTCCAAGAAGTATTGAATATCTTCATGTAATGGTCCCTTACCGAAATCCGGAAGAAAATGACAATTAACCGTTGCAAACGCAACGAACGTCGTAAATAATATCACTTGGAGTTTCATCTGTAAAACGGATAATAAAATCAATTTAATGATATACAAGAAAATAGAACTATTTTCGGTGTTAGAAAATGGGGAGAAGGAAGATAGAAGGAAGAGGGAACGATGTTAACGCGTTTAACGAGAACCGATTAATTGATCATATCAAAATTCATTTCATTTCAAACAATCTCGAACTAATTTTAGAGAAATTTTCAATGCGTTGAAATTAAATTCATTGATTCGCGGTATCGAAATTCGAAATTAAAATTACTTTCGAAAAAATTATTTATGCGGAAAACGATGATAAATATGAAACGGATTAAAGGACGAATTATTGCGTAGAATAATATTTTATTACAAAATGAAAAAATATTTTATTATAATTCTTGAACTTACCTTGATCATTCTAAATGTAGCCAATAATATCCAATGAACTTTCCCTCAGCTTTATATATATCCCGTTCAAAAGATGACTTCGAGTCACCTGAAAGAAAGATAAGATTTCATTATTTGTGCACTTGACTTTAAAGCCACTTGCAAAGATTAGTACCTTAGGATTGATTATCAATAAAAAAATTAATAAATCTGTGAAATTTCCAGATAAACATCATGTAATTTTTGTTTCTATCACTCTCATCGATTAATTAATCGATAAAACAAAATAAATAATTGTTTTTTAAATTCTCATGTTTATTATAAAATTAGTAACAAAAAAATATTTTTTTATTATATTTTTAATAACTGTTCCTGTGATTTATATTAAAACAATAAATGCATAAGGTTATATATTATGATCTAGAAAATAATATTCTTTTTTATTTTTTATTTCTCTTTCTATCCATGCAATCCAAACAATGCAGCATCTTTATGAATACCATTTTGTTTGATACAGTAAATTTTTTCATTCTATGCATTTCGGTTAAATATAGAATATTTACAACAAGCTAAAAATGTATTTACCAGATCTTTGATATGATTATTTGATATTATAAAATACATTATTCTATTTTAACTTATTATAAAATAAATTGTTTTATTCTATGTAGTTTTTTCGGGCCAACATACAAACTATGCATTCAAATTTCTCTTAATATTTTTTTTAATTTAATATTCTATTTTTTTTTTTAATATATCTATTTAAATTGAAATAATATAGATGACATTGAGAAATTTTATCTATTGTTATTTCTATTTGAAATAATTGAATTTTTCTAATAAATTCTAAAGTGTAATTTGCAAAATGATTGTTAAGAAAATTGTTGAAGAAAAAGATAATATTATATTTATCACGAAATATTATATTTTCATTTACAATTTTTTTTTTTAATATTATTTCAAAATTTTATTTAATCATAAATTTTTTAGATGGCTTTATAATTAAATAAAAAAATAATATAATGTCTAAATAATAATAAATATAATAATAAATAATATAATATCTAATATAATTTATATTAGATAAATAACTAAAATAAATATATTATAATATATATATATTATAATAAAATATAATATATTAGATAAATAAATAAAACTAAAATAAAATTGTATAGAATTTGATACCAAATTAAAATTATATCATGTAATTGAAATTTTTTACATAATATTAATATTTTTTAGACGTAATATTAAAATTTCTATTTTTTTATCTGAATGAAACAATAAAAAAATAAATGAAAAGAAACGAAAAGAAATAAATTGGAGATTGATTTAATTGGAGATTGATTTAATTTAAAATAAAATTTTCGTTTATTAAAAAATATATAGTATATAGCTTTTAAAAATATGTAGCTTTTAAAAAATATATAGTATAATAATATATTTATTTCGTTTAAATGATATATATATAATTTCAAATTATATGTATTATATGTGCAAATTTATATTATGTTTCAAATCATTAGAATTTTACAAAGTTTTTTACGAATAATTATAAAAAGAAATATTATTCAATGTATACTATAAAAGATATAAAAAATATTTGTAATTATTATAACATTTATTTATTAATTACTTAGGTTTATTGTATTACACAGTATTATAATGAAATTTTGATTATCCAGGATTAATTCTCAATTATTCATGATTTTAGTTATTGAAATATTAGGAATTATTTTTCATTAGAACATTGCAAACATTGCAAACATTGCAAACATTGAAAATAATTATTCGATATAATTTTCACTTTCAATATAATTCATTATTTTCTGTTAATATTAGTACAAATAATTTATCATTAATCTTGTATCTTATTATATAAGATAACTTGTAAGAAAAAAAATAATGTAAAATGTAAAAAAAAGTAAATAATTATTATTAATTATATCAATTATATTTTTTTTATAAATCAATCATTTTTTAAATTCACAATTTTTTTTTATTTCTTTATTATTGTCTTGATTTTATTCGAACAGTATATGAATTGATATGAATTTTTTTTTTTTTTTTGATGTGGAAATATCAGTGATCACAATTTTATTATTAATTTTTATTAAAATTAATTTCTTAGACCTAACCCTTTTAACCTAAAGACTTTTATCTTTTGAATCACTTATTCCATGAACTTTTAAAATATGTAGCTATGCGCACATACATATGCATACATTAGCAATTTTATATATATACAATGTCCTATTTAAATTAATTCATTCATAAATCTGTAAAACTATGATACAAAAAAATGTTTCAAATAAAAATTTAATAATTTCAAGAAATAGATAATTTGACATAAATTTTTTGTGTATGGAGAATATATGAGTAAAGGACAAATTTTATTTTTTAAATCATATATTTTTATTATATTAGAAACATATAGTTATATGTTTTTTGTGAAAAAATATTAGATCTTTAAAATATAAAATTTTTATTCCTGAATAATCTTTTCAAATTATTAAGCGGTGTTTTATTTTTTAATTATTCTATTTTTCTATTTTTTTAATAGTTTTATTTTTTAAATATTGCTATAAAAAATATATAAAGATATCAGATCAAACAATCTTGGTGGAAATTTAATAAAATCAATTTTTTCTAACCTATTTATTAATTTTTTCTAACCTACTTTAAAATACAATGTCTCATAATTTGAAACAAGAAATCATTTAGAAATGAATCATCATTAAAAAATGTTTATAGAAATGCTAGAAAGGATTATTAGATCATTTAAAAATAAAATAATTCCCTATACCCAAATTAAAGAAATACAAAAAATATATTTAAACATTGATTTTAAAAAGATATGTAAAATTCAAATCAAAACATCTCCTAAATTATAGTTTTATGCTTTATGAAAATTTTAATATTCTTTCAAAAAACATTAAGTTATATCTAATTTAATAAAAATACATGATTTAAAAAGTTTATTCTTTAAATTTATTCTTCAATTGTTTTTGGTATAAATGGCGTAATAAAAAAATGTGATTCGATTTGAAAAAACATAATTTTCCATATATATATGTACAAAAAATTAATTATATCATATTATATATGATCTCTTTATTAAATTATTAAATTTTCAAATAAAATATTTTTTTGTATCATCAATAGTTTAGCAGACATTCATTCAACAGAGAGATGGTATAAATGGTATAATAATGATATAAATTCTGGATATTTTATTATTTCTAGTATTTTCTAAAGTATTTATTTAAAGTTACTATTATTTATTATAATATTTACTAATTTACTTTATAATATTTCGAAATATTTATGTAATTAAAAATGTTTAGCTTGTGTTATCATAATTTATTATACATTATTTGAAAAGATAAAAGAAATAATAAAATTTGGTCTGAACGATTTTTGAATTCCTAACTGTGTAAAGAGGAATCGTATGATATTTTGTCTAGACTCATTTTAAAGAGCAAAGTTTTATTTTTATTTGCTTTTATTGAACTTTATTTTTTCAAAGATTTTGTTAAAATTTCGTTTTTTGTTAAAAAAATTTAAAACCAAAATTAATTTTTAAATTTTATACTTCAATTCTTTCTCAAATTTTATAAATTCAAACACTACAAAATTTAAAAAATTTTTTTCAAAAGTTGTTTTAATCATTTTATAAAGAGAAATCTCCCCTCTCTCTTCTAATTTTTAAGAAATTAACGTATAATTTTTTTTTCGCCATTTTATTAAATATTAAATAAAATATGTATATTATTGGCATTACAATAATTATAAAGTACGTAATCAGAAATATAATGTATATGTGTATTTAATATAGAGTTAGTATATGTTTTATAACATTTATGTATGTACTATATGATCAATATTTTTTAGACATGAACGAAGAACAATACTAAAACATAATAAAGCATGGAAAAAGTAATCATTTAATTCATTTTAGCAATATCACTTAATAATTTGAAACACTAAATATAAACACATATTAAATATACAGCAATCATGCACATGATAAGCATAATTATATTAAATATAAGACATAAGTTCAATAATAACTTTTTTGTGATATACTTTAAATTATTTCAATGCCGGCAGTATATTTTTCATTTGAAGTAAATAAAATAGAAGAAAAAATAAAAAAAATCCTACTTCAATTTCTTAAAAGTTGTTACAAATTATTCAAATGTATAACTTTCTTATCGATTTCAATAACCTTAAATTATATTATCAAGATTATTATTCTGAATCTTTCTCTATACATGTTATTGCTATTTTTTTATTTTAGTTTTTAGATATTTTTTTCAAGATATTTACAAAGAATAAACTTGATTTGTAATTAATAATACATCCTATTCGCTTATATCTTATAATATTTCGCTTCTTATAATAAATATATAATTATTTGTATTTGAATATTTGATATATATATTCTTTTTGAATGAATTTTTTCTTATCAATAATTTGCAAATAACAAAAATATCTATAAAAGTACGATAAAATTATTAAAAAGTTAAAAAATATAACATAATAAAATAACATGAATTTAAATATATATATATAGTATAATAAATAGTTATGATAAATTAATATAGTTTTTTAATAAAAAAAATAATAATTCAGGATGAATTATGTAAACTATAATAAACTAATGAAACCTAATTTATATATATAATCCATTAATTTTTTTTTATTGTTTAAATTGAGCTATATATAGAAATGCGAACATCGTTAGACAATAAACCAATGAAAATTAATCTAATCTAATCTAACCTAACCTACAACCCATTAATTTTTCTCTTTTATTGTTTAGATTAAGAATGCGATCACCATTAAACAACAAACCAATAAAATGTAATCTTATCTAACCTATAACCCATTAATTTTTTTGTTTATTGTTTAGGTTAGGGTTATATAGGAATGTGATCATTGTTAAATAATCATCTATACCAGAATCTCAATGTATTCGTAAGGTAAGTTTAGAGAAAACTTTTTGCAAATTTCTTGAAAATTAAAACTGAATAGTGGTAATATATATAGAAAAAAAATTTCAAAATGATAATTTGAACATATTTATATATATATTAAAGAAAAGAAAAAGAAATGAAATATTGATTCTAGTTAAAATTATGAAAATGTATATATATCAGATCAAACATATATATATATATATATATGATAATCATGTATCTATTTTCTTATTTTTACATGATAAGTTTTATGAAATTTAAATTAAAATATCTTTCATATTAATTAATTTTTAATCTAAGCATCTCGATATTTATTTATAAAAAATGAAACAATGCATTGGTTTTTACTTTAAAAGAAAAGATAGTTTTATTTTGCGATATCATTAAGAAATTAATATTCTATCTGATTTAATATCATGAAATTTTTTAGGAATGCAAAAAAAAAAATTGAAAAGAATATTAAAGAGAGATATAACATAACGCGAGATATATTTTATAAATGCATATTTATTAAACTTAACATTCATACTTAACAAGCTACTTAAAAAAAGAGAAAGAAACTATTAATATATAATTAACAAGGAACTGTAAGTCCCAAACGTTCTTCCATGTCTACCCTTATAATATCAAAGCGGACACCGTAATTCTTGGCCTTCGTCAAGAAGTTATTAAAGTTTATGCTTGCGCAGAGCTTATTGACGAGTGTTTGAGCGATAGGAGATCCCAACATCCTGTTGAAATCAGCGAAAACGGCAGAGTTAGCCACTCTCTCCAGGTAAAGGGACTTGAGTTGGTCCGTAGGTATCAAAGCTTCGATTTCATCGAGGAAACCACGGATTCCACCAATATTTCTGGTAGCACGGGAATTTGGTTTGAGCGGTGACAAGTGTAAATATTCATTGACCTTGTTGACTAGGTAATATGCGTCGAGACCAGCACTCTGTGCATAGTTCAGAATATGAATCCATTCAGGAATACTTTCGATTTCAGTGATTAAGGTTTTGAATTCATATGATTGGAAGTACTCGAGTACTTGTTGGAATTCAATATCTTCTGCTTTGTATCGGTGAACAATTTCGATAATTTCTTTTATAGGAATTAGATCGACAAATTTTTGCAATTCGTCAGCAAGAGCACCGTTTCCAGTACGTGGAACTGTGAAAGCCTCCAGAGGGCTGGTCACGGCAAGAACGGCCAAAATAACCAAAGCGAATTTTATCTGTAAATAATGATATAAAAATATTTAAAAAAGATAGAAATATTTTAAATAATATTAACATTAAATGTAATAATAACATAATAACATAAATAATAATAACTTTGAATGTTATTAATATTATTAAATATTAATATTGAATCATTGTAATTATTGTAATCATGTAAATTTATGAAATAAGTATAGTGTTCTTGGTACTTATATAACATTTATATTTCTTTTGTATTTTTCTGTATTTTAAAGTATTGTTTATTGTTCTACTTACCATGTTGCCTCTGCAAATGTTTTCTTTTGAATACATGATTACTCTAGGCTACCAGTTGGCTTATATACTCCTTTAACATTGACCTAATACTCATACGATAAGATTATATCATTTGTGATATTATAGACACATTCAAAATTAACCATACAATTGACTAAATAATATCGATATAGTAATTGAATAGATACATATATATTGTATAATAGTATAAATTTTTTTTAATCAAGTTATTATGTTGTTAAATGTGACATTATATAATAAATATTACCAATTATATAGAAACTAATTTCATCTAGGAAATATTAAAAACACAGAATAAATAAAATGATACATGTAAATTCTGATATTTGATTTGTTAATAAATTATATTAATATTAATATTTGATTTGTTAGAGATAGAAAGATAGAAATAGAAAAAAGAAATGTTTTTCAGAAATAGTTTTTGATATATAAATATCATTTTGTAAAAATTATGAGATAATGAAATAAAAATAAATATTCTAGATTTTAACACAACATTTTGACTAATTGGTACATAAAATGTCTTTTTGACTAATTTAGACAAATATAAGAATGATATAATAAAATAACAAAAATTTAAATCGAAAAAAAAAATAAAATTAATATAATAATATATATAATATATTATATTATATTATTATATATAATAAAATTATATATAAGTTTTGTATAAGTATTTTCTATAATAACTATAATTATATTAAAATTATATATAATTTTTTCTCTATATAATTCAATCTCTATGATAACTATAATTATAATTACTTACATATTATTTTCTATCTTGTAATTAATCTTAATTTCGAATAATAATTTCAAAATTAATTCTATATTATAAAAAATAATTATAAACAAAAGTTCAAAAAAAAAAGAATTATTATATGATTATAGAAAATAGCAATAACAAAAAATTTAAGGATATCTAAAAATGTTATTATAATTGTTCTCCAAAAAGACAAATATTACTTTTAACATTCCACCTTGTTACAATAGAAAGTTGTATTAAATTATTTTTTATTGCTGTCCAAGCAAACTTTTGTCCGATATTATAGTAGCATATGGTAGTAACAGCCTACATAGCGGACTCATCGTTATCGACATAATGGCTTTGAGGATTTTCATGACAAAACAAGAAACAACTAAAAAAAATATTCACCGTTATAAATCTACCTGTCTTTGATTAAAGATCTCGATATTTTGATAATATAAATAATTTCTTATTGAAATCGAACTTTTAGCGTGAAAGATGAATTTCTCGTAAAAAATCGATTATTTAATGATTTTTAAAAGATGAACTCGAATTTACGGATTATAAATTATGATTTCGAGTGTGTATTAGAAAGTTACATGTATACGTGTACTAAAAATGTCTATAATCTATGATCTATATAATGATAATATCTAACATTTATATTGAAAATTTAAATTAACATTAAAAAAATTGTTTTTTTTTGTTTAATATGTTTTTTTATTACTTTTTTTATTTTTTTAAAACTTTCACGATTTAATTTTCTTAAAAAAATTTTTAATGATCAAAATGAAACATATTTATATATTTCAATGAACATTTATAAAATTTTATTCATCTATAATTTAATATTGAAATTCCATTTCCTTGAAATTTCCAATATTATATTTAATCAAAACGATTAATTTGTAAAATATTCATAATGATTTTTAATATCATTTAAAAAAATTTTTTATTAATTTTTTTATAAATTTTTTATTTATAAGAATTATTTAATTATCAAATCATTTGATTAATCTATTTCATATTAATAATTAAGAATAATGAGAAAATGAAATTGGTTGAAATTTTATTAAAAAATCTTTATTTCACATAAATATGGTTAACAAATCGAACAATTATTATGTAATAAAAGACTTTTTTTTAAATAAGAACCGATAACATCATTAGTTGACTGCAATACATGCTTATCTATTTATATGCGAACCGGATAAGCGCAAAATGAACCGTTATTGAGAACATTTGAATGTCTTATTCGATTGGTCATTTTCGAAGAGCATACGATATAAGATAAAATTATGAAAATAAGATATATTTGAATTTGCTTTGTTCTTTTATTATTTTAATAAACATATTGGTTATTCTAAAATAGCATTCAACCTTTTGATTTTATATATTATTAAAAATTTTAAGTTAATTTTAAGTTTTTTTATATTTGTAATATTCTTGTTATAAATAAGAATATAATTAATAAATATATAATATTATATAATATAGAATAAATATCATTAATAATAATTTTATTTTATATTTCTAAATAACAAATTATCTTAATTCAATATCAATCTATATTTTTAAAAAAAAATTTAATTGATTATAATGTTAATTTTATAAGTGTTAAATTAAAGCAATTTCTTATTTATATATTTAATTTTTATTTGAATTTCATATAAATATTATTATATTAATATTAAGTCCAGTTTTTAATATTTTTTAAAAAATTTGCAAAGATTTATTATATTAATTAGTATATTAATAAAATGATATTATTATGTAATTCGAAATTCAATCCAAAATAAACGATTTTCATTTACTTATAAAATTTATTTCAAGAATATAAGAAATATTTTTTAGGATGCATTTATACATATTTTTCAATTCATATGATATGAATTATTGAATCTATTATAATATCTGAACTTAGACAAAAGTCGAATATTTTGATTGATATTTTGATAATGATCGATATTTTGATAATGACCATAAGTTTATTTAAGTTCAAATTGATTCAATCATATATCTAACTTATATTTTTAATTAAAATAAATTAAATAACTGATAAAAAATAAACTAATCGTTTACGAATTTTTTTTATATAACACCTTTTATTTTTATTTAGTCTTTATGTATATATATAAATTATGTATATATAATAAAAAAGATTATTATTACATATATTAACTGTTATTTTTTTTCTATTTTTCTATTCTACTCCATTGGATTTCAGAGAATAACAAATATAAAGAAATTTACACACGATTAGATGTCTTGTTTCTTAACTTTTATTAATATATATTATATACTACAAATATATATATATATATATATATATATATATATATATATATTTGCTAATTATTGAAAAGTATTATTTTTTAATATTGGTGATTTTTTAATCAAAATCATTTTGAATAGTGTTGTGAAAATCTTATTTGATAATCGTTGTTCATTAAAAATTATTAACAAAAAATTTTTTTCTATGCAGTTTAGATTAAATCAGATTAATTTTAAGATTTACATAATTGATGATCAACTACCTCACGAAGAGATTAAAAAACTAGCTTAGATTAAAAAACTCAAATTATATAAATTCTTCATTCAACCATATAAAACTCAATATAAAATTAGTTAAATCATTATTAAATCAATTAAATAAGTTTTTATTTAATTTTAATTTAAGATAAAATTAAACTTAAAATTAATATAAATTAAATGATGTCTAAAGAAGAATTTATTTAATTTTTGTTTAAATGTTAAAAAAATTTATTTGATTTTGTTTAAATATAATAGAAATTAAATATAATAGAAGTTTAAATATAATAGAAATTATATAATAGAATATATAAATAGAAATTAAAAATCATCGAGATCAGTAGATGATATTTTTGTAAATATTTATCATATATTTTTCTTTTCATGTTTGAAAGAATATATATCTATATTTTATAAAAAAGAATTAACATTTAGGAACTTTAGAGCTTCAAGACATCATTTATGCTTTTCTTTATAACATCAAAATGCTGTTAGGATAGGGGTTGGCTTTCAAAAAAACGTTAAAATTTCCTATTTGTGCAAATCTTATTGATGAATGTTTGAAGAAAGTGCAGCTTGATGAATTCGAAAAATACACGAGAACTATATGGTCAGTTCCTATTATAAATCTATTAAATCCTTAATCTAATCCAAATTCATTATCAAATTCAGTATCAAATTCATTAAGCAAACAACAAATTCCATTAAGAATTCTGATAAAATGAAGAAAATAATAAAATTAATATATGTTGACAAGTGCAAATATTTATTAATCTTGTTGATAATACATGTCACGATCATACATATTCTGCATATGCACTCATATATATTTGAACATATATATACGAACATTCTATAAGCAATTTCGAGAATGATTTCGATCTCAATGATGAAAAATCTAATGTTTGAAGAATATTTAAATAATTCGGTAATAGAATTCGAAGTCGTCTATTTCGTAAAAACAGATAACCGCAACAATTTGATCTATGGGAATCAGATCAATGAAACTGCAATTCATTAAGAATGAACATTATTGAAGCTTGGAACTTTGTAAACCACAAAGTTTTTATTAAAGTTATTATTAAGTACAACCAGGATAGTCAAAATTACCAAAGCAAATTTCATCTGTGAAAATGATAATGAACGTTAATGATAATATAAAAATATTTAAAAAATATAAAATGAATTCAAAATATTTTAAATATAAATAAATTTAAATTTAAATGTTTAATAAATAATAAATAATAAATTTAAATTGAATATTAATAATGAATTATGAGCATTAATAATATTAAGATTATATTAAGATTATATTAAGATAATATTTTTTATACATATATAAATATATAAAAGATATTGAAATTTAAAAATTCAGAAATATCTTAAATACGTTAAATAATTGAAGTTAATTTTTTAAATATTCAGTATTAATATTAAATCATAAACATAGATGATATTCTATTAAGAAGTATGGAAATTTAAAAATATTTTAAATATAAATATATAAGTTAATTTATCAAATATCAAATATAATATTAAATTACAATCGAAATTATAATTTTTTATATTCAGAAATAATTTAAAGTATTCCATTATATTCTATATTCATTATATTCCATATTGCCTCTGTCAATATTTGCTTTGAATACAAGATAATTAATAGATTACATGATTACTATGGGATCAAAATATATAGATAATCTATATATAGATATAGATAATCTATTTTTAATAT